TTGAGCTTGCGATATTCTGCTGCTTCTGGATCTTCCGTTGGTCCCGTGTCCTATTGTCTTTATATTCTGGGCCAGTTCATATTCCCTTGTTAGGAGTCTTAAAATTCCCGAGGCAGTCAGATGAAGTAAGCGCGGCAATTTGAGCCGTCAGGAGGCACGGGACGTGTTTGCCAGAAAACGCGACGCTGACAGCCGGAGTAGTCAGGACAGTCAACCAAGATACGCGAGCAGAAGTATACGTGCGACAAGTTACCAAGAGACCAAGAATACAAGTGCGAGGATTTAATCGAGTGCGTGGCCGTGAGAGTACACGGCCGAGTGCTCTACACCCAGATCAAGATACCAGAGTCAAGGCGCTAGGACAAGGCTGAGACTGCAACGGTGAGCTCTGCAGGACGCAGAGATTGGATCAGGACGAGATCAGGACGAGTTACCGGCAAGGTGAGAGCGGATAAAGAGTTTGTACCAGGCGTCGGGGTTACGGTGGACTGGCGACAGGGCTGAATCCTCGTATTTGACCTGTCGGGCCATTCGTTTCTCAGGCTAGAGCCAGACCGACTCCTGGTAGTCTGGGGACACAGGTGGTCTCACGATTATTCTGGAGTTGGAGCCCGAATGGAAGGTTGTGCAGACTTTTTTTTCGTCTTATAATCCGGGTGAAACTGGAGGGAAGCCGTTGAGGAACGACGCCGCAGGAGTCGACGAGGAGCAACAGCCGGAAGAAACCAATTCCAGCGAACAGAAAAAATAAAGTTTTCAGATTTGCCTCAATCGAATATCTCGCATTTTCTTGGGTCACGGGCAGTCACGAACACACAATATCTCTGAGCTAGTCGCGTCGTTTACGTAGCGATCAATCAGTTAAAATCGGTTCGTTACACCCTCTCTCGTTGTTTTAGGCTCTTATGGGGAGAGAATGGTTGTCTTTACGGGAATGTGACTACACTGGTCCGCCCGGTTGAACCGGTATGGCCTGTCGGATTCCGCGGAAAAGCCGCTGGGTGAGCGTCTGCATCAATTCCTATCCTCTCACAGGAGCGACAATTTAGTAAAGCAGGGATTTTTTTCGGATGTCATGATATGGATATGATGCTCTGCCGCATTTAAAGAAATCTAGTTCGTAAAGCGAGCCTCGGCATCCTTGCCATTTTGCCACCGTAACAATTTCATATCAAATTTGGGACGATATTAATTTATGCAGCATTGATATTTCGAAAATATCAACCTGACCCCTTTGCAGTCAAACACTCTACTAGCTGCGCCAGGGGAGCATCACATGAGGCGCTGAATGAATATTATTGAGTAAAAAAAAAATAAAAAGACGCAAAGAACTTCCGCCTCGACGTGGGACTGAACACACACTTCCGACTATACGCTTACATAACATACAATCCGCACGCTTTAGTCCCCTAGGCTACCGATTAGGGCAATTCCTAAAAATTTTTGATATTTTATCATATCAGTGTTATATGATTTCATATAAATTATAAATATTTTTTCCAACAAATAATATGAAATAAGATTAAAATAATAAATTATTTTATGTTAGAATGATATGACAAAACTTGATCTTAAAAAAGATCAAAATAACCAACACTTATCAATTCGATATTGTCATATTTTTTTCTGTGTAGCTAGTTTTGCAATCTGAAATGCAAATGCAAATTATGCATATCGGATACATAGTTGCTAAAGGATTAATTTTGTTTTTGTTGCCGTTCCATCAACTCCTTGATCTTCATGTGGTCCCTCCCGGAGGAAGAAAGGGCACGTTGCATTTCCCTGGTTAACGAGTACTAGTCGAAGTCGTAGTCGTCCGTTTGTTCTTCCATCAGCTGTCAATACTGGCAGCTGGCAGCTTCTACCACAAAGAAAAAAAAATTGATATGAAATTGCACTCAAGTTAACATTATTTCATATCAAATTTGGGCCGATATTAATTAATGCAACGTTGATATTTCGAACATATCAAGTTGATATTTCCGAGAATATGAAGTTGATATTTTTATACCCTTGTAGAGGGTATTATAATTTCAGTCAGATGTTTGCAACGCAGTGAAGGAGACGTTTCCGACCACATAAAGTATATATATTCTTGATCAGCATCAATAGCCGAGTCCATCTAGCCATGTCCGTCTGTCCGTCGGGACAGAGGGTATTATAATTTTAGTCAGATGTTTGCAACGCAGTGAAGGAGACGTTTCGAACCACATAAAGTATATATATTCTTGATCAGCACCAAAAGCCGAGTCTATCTAGCCATGTCCGTCTGTGTGTCTGTCCGTCTGTGCGTTTCTATGCGTTTCTCTCTCAGTTTTAAAGCTATCGCGATGAAACTTTCCCGAAAGTCTTATTTCTATTGCAGGTAGCCGGATCGGACCACTATATCTTAAGGCTCCCATAGGAACATTCAAACAAATATAAGAAAATTCATTGTAACTTTGTAGGAAGTAGGCGTTTCGATTCTTGACAACTTAAAAACAAAATTTAAAAAGAAACGGTTAATCTGGAATCCCTGGAACTGCACCGAGTGAGCATTAAACTATAGGTATTTACTTTATCTGCAAGGGTATATAAGCCTCGGCTGGCCGAAGGTAGCTTCCTTTCTTGTCATTTCTAAATTCATGAATATTAAAATAATTTTATTTTAAAAATTATTAAATAATTATTTTAAAATATTTTATTTTAGGTTTTATGCAAAAAAACATTGAAGCTATAATTTTTTGTCATTATTTTTTCGATGTTTCCTATGGGATATAGATATAGTTGTCCGATCCGGTTGGTTCGGACTTAATACTACCAGCAATAGAAAGATACCTTTTGGGAATGTTTCATCCCGATAGCTTCACAACGGATGTACGGACGGACAGACGGACGGACAGATGGACTTGGCTAGATCGGATCGTCTAGTGATGCTGGTCAAGAATATATATACTTTATGGTCGGAAACGTATCTTTAACTGCCTTGCCAACTTCTGACTGAAGTTGGAAATCGATCGGTTGAGCCGATTAGAAATGCCGAAGATCAAACCGTAATATAGAGAAAAACGCACTTAAACGTGTAACATGTAACAGCTAGATAACTTAAAAAAGTCGTTTTGCGGTGATCACTTCGGTAAACTTTACGGATTTTTCATTCTGTTTTTACTTTACGTTTAAAAACAGAAAAAAGCCCGCCCTCTGAGAAGTTATTCTTACATTTTTCAACTTTAGATATTTTTTTAACAGACCAAAATCAAAAAGTATTATACCTCGTAGAGTAAAATGGTATATTGTATTCGTGCAAAAGTATCCCTGCAGGAAACGGAATCAGTTTTGGACCATTAATATACTAGTTGGGTCAAGAAGGTTAACTAGTTAAAGTTATGTCCATTTCCTTGTAACGAAGTGGTCCATTTTTCATGTGCTTGTCGTCAGAAACAACTAGTCCATTTGCTACTAGTTTTGCACTAGTTACTGTTAACCAATTTACGGTTACAGCTGTTAAACTACACTGAAAAAAATATTTTCACGAAAAAACTAAAATTAATCTCTAAACCATCAAGTGATTGGATTTCACTAGTACTTGACGATGCCTAACTTGACGCTCTCCTAATTTAGTATCCAATTATTAGGCGCGGTCCTTAGAGAATTTCTGATAATTATTATGTAATCAAATACAGTAAATGATAATTAAATGGAATTAAAACAAACTTACATTTTTTGAGGCAAGTCGCCCTCTCTAGAAATTGAACCCGGGACCTTTGGATTGTAGACACACTAACTGATGCCCTAACAAGGTTTATGAATTTTAGTGTGACATAATTAAAAAACAGTGATTTTTCACATATATATTGCCTCAGACAGATTAAACAAAGTTTAAAAAAAAACTAAAGCATAACCTAGCAAACAAAAAACAAAAAAAAGTGTACAGAGACTGGGGAATGAACCGAGGACCTCGAGTGTTTGATTTATTTAGTGCTAAATTTCCCAAGACATTTACGCTCTAGGCTATATTTTTGGATCAAATGTGTTTCATTTGCAACTAGTTAAATTCCAGTTGCATTTTAACTAGACCCTAACATGTATTTGTTCTACCAGTTACATATTTTTAAGGTTTTTTTTTGTCAGAAAGGTACTAGTCCAAGACAAGTTTCTTTTTTACTAGTTTTGTATTAATAATTTTTTCGACTAGCAAAAATTTTCTAGACCCTGTGTAGTCCAAATGCATTCAGACAAATTCCGGTTGCTTTATTTTAGTTGTATTACTAGTTGTTTTTCAGACTAGTTCGCATTTTTCCTGCAGGGATGTAACAGGTAGAAGGAAGCGTTTCCTACCCCATAAAGTATATATATTCTTGATCAGGGTTACTAGCCTAGTCGATCTAGCCATGTCCGTCTGTCTGTCTGTCCGTCTGTATAAACGCTAAGATCTCGGAAACTACAAAAGCTAGAAAGTTGAGATTTCCCACACATATTCTTGGGCTTCCTACGCAGCGCAAGTTTATTTCAGCCGAGCGCCACGCCCCCTCTAACGCCCACAATCGCCCACTAATGATTTTAAAACGTGTCCTGCGACACATTTATACTCGAGAAGTATAAATGCAATTTTGTTGTGTAAATATACCTATCGAAATGTAAATCGGACCATTCATTAAAAAGTTATACGCAATCAAAATTGTTTATATATCTATCTCCCTCGCACTCCCTTTAGCTGAGTTACGGTTATTAGATAGTCGGGACACCAACCCGAGTACAGCGTCGCACTCCCTTTAGCTGAGAGACGGGTATTAGATAGTCGGGACACCAACCCGACTATAGCGTTCTCTCTTGTTTTTTTTTTTAATTTTAATAATACCTTTTTAAACCTCACTTCTTAGGTTATTTCCGATTGACTTAAAACTTTTTTTGTATAATCTTAGAATGTTAATCTACAAAGAAAAAAAACAACACAAAATTAATGAATGCTTTGCATTTTTTTCTTCATGTAAATTCTAAATTATCAACTTTTACATTTATAGCAATATACGCCTAATTGTGTATAGAGTAATAGCATTGTGGTGCTCTACCCTACAAGAAGGAAGCCACTGCGAAATTATTTCGGAGCCTCTTATTAAGGAAATATTGGATGACTTAGTTCCGCGAAAAAAAACTTCATTAATATGTGTAAGTATTTTATATAGAACATTACATATTACGTTTATTTACATTTATTAATTCATTTATACATTTCATTTATATTATACATTTATTTACGAATCCAATCAAGCGAGGGGAAGCTATTTTAAAAACCAAATGTTCAGCTAAAAAAATAGTTTCGATGTTAGAGATGTCATTTGGAAATGAAGATAATAGCATGCTACTGTATCAAGCTCATTTTTGCCTGCAACAATTGTTATCATCGTCTGGTCATTTGCTAAATAAGCAACTTTTAAAGGAAAGTATTATTCACATAGAAAAAAAATCAGTTTTATTATATTTTAATTTTTACAGGACGTTCATAACACCATATTGGGAATTTGTATTTTTATACATTCAGAACCGACCAAAATATCATCTTTGCGAAACATCTGGAATTGTCCCTTGGAAGTTTACAAATCATTCGCAGTGTTGTTGAAATCGCGAAACTATGGATGCCCTGCGCCTTCGGAAATAATTATGTCTCTTTTAAACGAATCACAATTATTTGAAAACAGCATTGAACTACGGAGAAGTTGGACAATTAAAGCTTTAGAACTTATGCTGCATCCTCACAAGACGGGTATTCAATTTAAACAGGGTGATGAAAATTTAAATTGCATACCATTCTGCCATCCAAACAAATCAAATTTTAAAAGTTCTAAACATTTAGAACTTATAGACATTGCCCAGTCAAACATTAACGATAGAAACAAAACAGTTAATCAAACCATTAAGGAATGCGTTATTTTACAAACTAGTGACGATGCTGGTAACCCACCATTTAGAAAGAATGATAGTTCTAATGAAATATCCCCTAACATGATTATTAATAACGCTTATAACGAAAATATCATTGGGTTTATTGATAATTCATTAAATAACGAGAAATATTTTAAGGAAAAAAATACAAATCCGTTAAAGGAAATAACTGCAGAGTTCTCAGTTCAAAACTTGAAAGAAGTATCTGAAGAGTGCTTCCACTCTGTAAAGACCGATAACCCAGAAAGTTTCGATAAAAGGACTGACTTAGCACTATCCAATTGCAATGTTAAGCAAAGTGAACATCTTTTGCCTATGGAGTTAGGAAAATTAGATGATGCTAAGATGGTAGCAGACTTGGAAGCAATATTTATTGGCGAACTTAAAAAAATGCATTAATTGATATATTAGATAAACACTTTTGTATTGTATCAAATTTGGCTTTTGTATAATTAAAATAAATTTATTGATATTAAATTTGTAAAAAAATAATTGAAACCTCTTTTTAGTGTTCCACATTACTGCTTTAATTAACCTTGATTGATGTACCTTGATTATTGTACACTAATATATTTGTCAAAAATAAGAACCGAAGTATCCAGATAAAAGTAAAAAATATTTATATATATCTTTACTTATATTTTAGATAAACTATACGTTTGCACCAAATAAGCAAATTGCGAATCGCCTAGTTTAAATCAACAACTTTTCGTTTTCCCGATCGAGTGAATTCGTTAGCATTGTCGGATTTCCCTTAATGATATTATAATTGTTTGTTGGAAAATGTTTTAATAAATTTTGACTTTTTGGGTGAATAAAAACTGCAGAGGCATTGTCTTTGAAAAAGCATTAAAGGTTATATGCACTTGTACCACGAACTTTAGCTAGATTTCTATGAATTTGTTTTTGTATATAAATCAGTAGACCTCGGATTTTTCATATTTGCATACTTTTTATAGGATAAAGATAGATCAATTCCAAAAACATAAAATATGCAAAATAAATGAAAAATATTTAAAAAATATATGGGTAGATTTTCTTCAAACTCAGTTACTTTGATGAGTTTGCCTTGGTTATCATCTGTGATTTTTTTTTGTCCATTTTTTGGTGTCCATTTGTGGGCGCTATGAATTTTTGAAGTTAAGAACTTAAAAAATGTTCTCCAACTTCAAATTAGTATATCTCAAGAACGGCTTAAAAGAACAACGTGCAACTTTACACGTTTTTAAATGTGTACTGGGGGAGTTAGAAAATAATTTTCTTAAATTTTTTGTTGTCCAATAAGTATGAATTTTAATTATTTGAAATTTTGTATCGCGGTTTTGGCTGTCTTCTTCATCCTATAAAAAAACTTAACTATCCAAGATTGTCCATCTCATAACCAACTTAATTTACCCGAAGAAACATTTTTGTTCCTTTTCATCATTTCCAAGATATATATTTTTTATGCGAATTTAGAAAAACCATATTTTTTTGTTTCAGATTGCAATTTTAATTTTTCAAATCCCAATTTAGGCTCGTCATTGGGATTTTCCCCGCTTAGATATATTTTTCCGACTCAAATGTATCAAAATTCAAGTATTTCTGTCAAATACATTTTTTCAAACATACTAAGGACACTAATAAGTGAGTTTCTCGTGTGTGTCCAAATGAGCTGTAAGCCTAGCGGCGAACGCTAATTGTTTTGGGCCTATAAGTGTCAAACAGGTCCTTCCATAATTTCTTTTTTTTTACTCCGCGATTAAGATTTGAGTTCATCTTCACATTCAAAAGGATAAATGAATTAAAAACTGCAAGGATTTTGAAATATAAATTAATTTTTGATTTAACTAAAGAAATGACCCATGGGAAGTGCATATTTTTTCGCAGATTCAGCTCATCCAGAGCTGTCGAAAGCTAATGATTATGAATTAAATGTGTCTTAACATTACCACAAAACAAAATTGGAAGTCCACTTAACGAAAAAATGTTAGAAAACACAATATTTTTAGACGAAACTATTTTAAAAGTCCTTCCCAAGGGTCGAGACAAGTTTTTACTTGGCAACAACAACAAAAGGCATTGTATCCATGTAAAGTTAACTTTAAATTGTTGGTAAACAAAAGGGTAGTCATGCCAAATTTAAAAAAAAAGTAATTGGCCACTATGTTAATTTATTATGGTAACTGGTTGAAATAAGCTGTGGACTTTTTTTTGGGCTTTTTTTGTAATTAATTCATAAAAAATATTTATAAAATATTATTATACACTAATGTGTATCATCATAGATGTATTCTGCGTTTAAATTATTTTGATAACATGTTTTGTTTAGTTTTTATGGGCTGTTAAAGTTTTTGGTGTAGACTGGTTGAAATAAGCTGTGAACCACTGTATATATACATATAAATATATAGAACTGTAATTTTTTCAAGTTTTTCGTGATTTTTTTTAACCAATAAGGAGTTGTGCTGGGATTTCGTAACTTGGCATGTTGATTACATTGTTCTTATATAATTTTAACCAATTTTTATTTTGCTTTTATCTTTCAAAATGACGGCCGTGGGCGGACAGGTCGATCCGATTTTTATGAAACTAAGATTATTTTGTTAAGAAATAATGTAGAAACTGTCTGAACCTGACTTACATAGAATATCTCTAAAACTATGGTTTTGGCACTCTTTCAAAGTTAAATATGCTTAAATACTTAATACTTAATACTTAAACGGACAAATTTCTACATTAAGGGCCGTTTTCTCGTCCCGGGATAACGGAGCGATAAACAAAAAATGGTTTACTCGTCCTTATGTTAGCGCAGGTAGCGACAAGTTTTGTCTCGGTACTTCATCCGCCGTGCAAAATTTGTGCGGTTGGATTGTGCGCAAGTGTTGCCAGACATTTGAGCGTTGTCAATCTGGTTCCACTCTTCATTTGAAAACAGGTGATTCCATTTAAGTTAAATATTAATCAAAATTGCTTAAGTCATCAAGTTTATTTTAAAATGAATTTCCGAGCGATTTGTCTGAAGTGCGAACCTATCGGCGCAGATATCAAGACCAAAGAAATTACTTCAACATATACTACCAACAGTGATGAAGAATTGGTTAAAAGGGTTCGCTTGCGAAAAAGCGGTGCTATTTGTTTTTCAAAAAAATGTTTTGCGACTTGAATCTAAAGTAAAGAAGTAAGTGCATTTATTTGATTTTACAAATTCCATATAGTCAAAACCCATTATTGCATAATAACTTAGATTCTACGCAAGTGACAGTTTTCTTATAACTGTTGGCGATTGTTAAGGAAGTTTCTTTTGCTATAACGTCTTTTTCAAAACAATTTATGAAGTACCTGCGTATTGAAGATCTTCAATAGCCAAGTTTCCGAAAGTCATTGGAGCCATAGATTACACGCTCTCCTGTTAATCGGCATAATTTTTTTTATATTGTTTATATCATTAGCTGTTAGTATGACTGTTTTATGGTACTTTTCGATAGTTTTTCGATTAATTTTTGACAATTAGTTAACTCTTCTGTTGTGGGGCTGCCACCTAGTCTCAAATTAGTGCGCCTTTTATTTGGAGTTTTAAATGACGGACGAGAAAACGAAAAACGATTTCCCACCGAGATAAATTTATCCTTCCATTAGCTAAATTTTACTTTGCAGGACGGACGAGAAAACGGCCCTAAGTAGGTTCAGACAGTGGCCAATTTTATTACAAACATTTCTGTAAAAGCAGCATAATGATCGAGGCATTACTTTTTGAGATACACGATCCGCAGCTGAGGAAAACGTGGTTTCGAGAAAGAGGCATTTAAAGTAATGGAATATATCTACTGCACAAGGAAGGTAGGTGCCGTCATCCTGGTATAAGTTTTAAAATAGGTAGAATTTCTTCGTGAAACTTTCATGGGAGAGAGTTATTCTACCAATTTAAGGAATAAAAAAAAATTTAATTTTTTTTTCTATAAGTATCTCTTCTCTTAAGCCTAACTGAGCTTATAAGCTCCAGAGCGGAGCGGAGAGTTACGGGAGAGTTGAAGGGAGAGCAAAGGGCAGTGCAAGCGAGCGAGATATGGAAATCTGGAGAAAACTGCCCCTTAAACTTGCCTCCCGAAATGAAACGTCCTTTTTGCGTGAACAACACTTTAAAAAATCGGTACCATATACATATTGGTACATACCGATCATTTCCTTACGACTTGACTATCTTAAAAGGTCGTGTTAAACTTCGGAACAAGTTTCTTTGAAACTCCCGTGTGACAATCAAAATTCTTTACTACAACATAATCTCCTTGCTCATATTTTGTTGCTTTCAATCGTTTGCTATTTTTCGTCGTCTCATTATAGTTTTGTAACTGAGCTAGTTACCGATAACCAACTCCCCGCACCCCTTCAAGAATAAGTCATCTGCAAACTAGCAAGCATAAGTTGGTTGCGGGCTGCCAAACACCCCGCACCCCGCATCCATTAAAAATAGGCCAGTGTTTGTCCGAGTTATAATATGCAAGCCGACAAGTTGGCATCCCGGTATAAGCGACAGCGGCGGAAGAAATACGGCGTAGGCAGCATATAGAAGCGGCGACGGAGCGACAAACACTTGAGGCACATATACATGTAAGATTTGTTATAAGATTATAGGTATATTTAATATGAATACGATTAAGTATATAGCCGAACAGGTAAATGATGTTAGTACAGATCTCAAATGACCGACAGAAATTCGCGACTACTTTTGACAACTTTCAACTTTATTACGACTTCTGCGACTGGCTTCTTCGACTTGCTTCTGTGACTACTTCTCGACTCTCTCCTCTTGTCTTCTTCGGCACTGCAAACTTATCATCTGTCCAAATTTAGCATATTAGCAAGGGGTGGGAATGATGGGTGGTGTGTGTCAAGGATGGGTGTGCCAACTTGTGAGGTGATTGTACCGATGCCACCTTACACTCGGCCATCCTGATCATCATCTGACCCAGATGATACTTCGTCCTCGTCGTCTTCGTCTTCGCTACAACCAAAGTAACGCCACAATTTCATGGAATCAGCAGCGGTTGATGTCTGATTTGGGCCTTGGAACTCTTCAGATTTTTGAACGTCATATCGACCGTTCCGCTTTACGTTGATGACTTCGTAAGGTCCTTTAAACTTGTTTGACAGCTTTTCCCCGTTGACGAATTGAGTTACTCTAATAGCGACTAAGTCACCTAATTGATATCCGTGGTGGCCTTTCCTTTTTTTGTCAAAGTTCCGTTGCGCTTTTTCGATCTGGTTTCTAGCTTCTGTTCTTATTCGGTTGCGCTCGTCTTGAACGCCTGACAGTAGTTCCTCCTGAAGGATGTTGACCAAATCTGCATCTGACTCATTTCTCATCTTAACTCCAAACAAAATTTCAAATGGAGTAAATTTTGTTGAAGAGTGAACGAGCGCGTTGATCGCCCGTTGCACCTGAGAAGTGTATTGATACCACTTCGATGGCCCGGCGGTAGACATTTTGGCCAATACTGAAATGATGATCCTGT